ACCTCGCCCGCCTCTCCCGCATGCTGTCGAAACGTGTCGGGCACCGCCGTCGGAGGCCGGTCCAGGAGCAGGCCGCGGTAGAGTTGGTACCGCCGCCTGCCTGTGAGCCTGGACGACACGTACGGCACCCCCGTACACGCCTCCTGCAGAGACACGAGTGGCACGACGCCCAACTCTGCCACCTCAGCCTTGTCAAGCAGCTCGAACAGGCGACACTCTGCCTCACTCATCTCAAACAGAAGGTCCGGTAATAAATGATACGTCCGGCGACAAATTCTAAAGAATAAGCGAAGAAGACCAAAAACATATATATATATATATATATATATATATATATAGTGAGGAAGAAGGGTGCACAGCATTCAAAACCTGCACGCATGCACATACACAAAAAAAAAAGTTCCATCGGAACACAACAGCAGCCCTCGCACACTCCTGCTCCATAGACAAACTCCGAAAGAGGAACAAAACCGAACAACAGGAAGAAGCAAAAATAAAACAACAACAAAAAAAAAAAGTAGTGTTGGGCATGCACAGAAGAGGAGCCTCAGACGATCATGTTGAGCACCTCCGCATCGTCGGGATCTTCCAGAGGAGGCGCGGGGAGGCGACGGTCCTGCATGAGAAACTGTCTGGCAGCCTCCTCGTCAGCAATTGTGCTGTTGGGACACTCCAGCCTTGTGATGGGGGCTACGCCGCGTGCCACAACCCCGTTGTGCCAAAATGACTCGTGATCCAACTCCCTCGCGATAAGCATAAGCTTCAGCAAAAACTTGTTGAAGTAATCCGCCTCCCCCGCCTCAAGACAGTGCTGACGGAGAAGCAAGACGCACTCCGTGCCCTTGGCATACTGTGCGTCCTTCAGGCTCCAGCGAAGCAGCTTGAAAACGGTGTCCACCAACTCATCCATCGCCCGCAGGACCTTGACACCCTCGCGGGACTGCACCATCTTCTGGAAGGTGCAAACCGGATCAATCGTCATGATGTGTGAGGCACCGGCGACAAAACAAGGTGTCGCTACGGTCGAAGGGGCCCGGGAGGACACATCGGATGCCGCAACCTCACGGGAACCGGCAGACGAGTGGGACCAATTCGTCCGCCGCTCCTCCGTCACGCAGTTCTCACTATTCGAAACGTACACAAAGCTACGGGCGCACGCCTCCAGTTTGGCTCGCACGCTCGAGTGCATGGGTTCCAATTGGTTCCCTGGCATGCCGTAGGTGGCAGAGGTGGCGTGTAACGCATGCACAAGCGGCAATAACACCTCCCCAGCCGCGGTGTTGCCCCCGTTTGCTTCCTCCTGTGCGTCTCCCACCTCGCGACTTTCGTTTCCTCCTGTCGCTGCGCTCTCGGCGCAGCGGCGCAGCTTTGCACGCAGCGTCGCGTAGTACTGCTGAAGCACCGGGTTAAACGTTTTGCAGGGCCGCAACACCTCCTTGCCCACTGTCATTTCCTCCACAATCGCTGCCACAAGCCTCGCCTCTTCTGCAGCGTCATCATCGTCGTCCCGCACCCCCTCGTAGTCTGAGAAGTCAAAAAAACGCACATCTTCCGCAAAGGGGAGGGGCGAAAAAAAAAGAACATCCCGCTGTTCCTTCGTTGAGGGCACGCAAAGACCGAGCACGGGGTCCGCATCACGGGTGCGGACAAAACGCACAATCATCGCTTTGCCGGCTGCCGCCATCGCCCGCACAATGCTGCGGAAGGCCTTTGCCCCCACAAAGTCATCCGCAAGCGGCGTGATCACCTTCACCCCGCCCAAAAGCACATACACAGGGACTTGCTGCAACGGCACAAATCCGAGGGCGTCCAGTGCTCTGGGTCCCTTGATTTTCATCGTCTCCGCATCCTCCTCCGAGCACGGAACAAGGCTGCGACCGTAATAATAGCCCTTCCGCAAATCTTTTTGCTGCAACGGCGTCGCATCCTCACTGAGGCCCTGAAAAATCGTCCTCATGCATATCTCCTCTCCCGATGGTGTTGTTTTCTTCAGGGTCGGCAGCCGCTCCTCCTGCGCCTTCGTAAACATCTGCGTCGCTAAACGCACGTCCCCAACGGTGAGGATCACTCTCAAGAGGGGGCGTTGTGTGATTGTTCGGCCTTGAAGCTCCTCCACACCTCGCAGGGCGTCCGCCAACGACACCACCGTGCTTTCCTTCCCAAGCAAAGAGCACATGAAGCGTAGCACCCGCTCGTTCTGTGCCTTGACTGAAAGACCTGCCAAATGTTCATCACTATTTTCACGTTCGTCGGCGTCGGCTTCGGCTTCGACTAACGGCTCAGTGAAGTCAATACCAATGACGACTAAAGTTACACCTTGCTGCTGGAAGGATTGCAAAAGTGAATTCATACCATCCTTCCGCAGCACGTCGGTGCTGGCATCGGTCAGCAGATACACAACACGCTGGTAGCACTTGTTTGCCGTCCGCCCACGCATCACCTGGTCACTCACAAGGAGTATTTCCAAGAAGTCCACCGCATGGCGCTCACATGGCGGCGGCGGTGTCGCCGCAAGATGCACCAATGGCTCTAAAAACTCCACCGTCGGCGCGGCGAGGGCGCACGGCACGGAGATGTGCTTGAACCGCGTCCCATCCGTGTCGCCGCAGTGGGCATGATGTAGCGGATTGTGGGAGTCACGAGTACCAGCGAGGACCAGCGCCATCTCGTTGTGTGGCGCGAGCATCATCGTCATTTCTGCTAAGCGGCGGCAGAACTCCACCGCTAACTCCAGCGAAGCCGGAGGACAGTTTAGGTCAAGCGCAAGAATGGACGCCAAGCGCAATGACATTGTTCACTCGCTCGCTCTCTCTCTCTCTCTATATATATATATATATATGTGCGTCTTCTCTGTGTCCCCCTCCTTGCGCCTCGGTGTGCGTCTATCGCCCCCACACCCACGTTTCCTGCGGCACGTATTCATGGCGGTGGGGAGGGAGGAGGAACCAAGCCGGCAAAAACATTTGGAGAGAAAAAGAGGTTCGAATACACACCACAGCTGCAGCACTGGCACACATACATGCATACAGAAACAAAACAAGAGAGAGAGAGAGAGAGAGTGCACACACACACACACACACACACGCACACACCAATTGAGGGGCCACACGCATAGCGCATGATCATGCAAGAAACGTAAAGGCCCACAATGGGATGGCGAAAAAAGGAGAGGAAACTGAACATCATAAAGTTTTTCTGCAGACAACGAAGCCGTAAATGAGTGAATGGGGAGCGGGGATTCACTCAAGAAAAAAAAAAGAGGAAAATAAAATAAAAATCCAGAGAAAAACAAAACATACACGCACACACACAAAAGGCAGACAAAGCACTATGAAACGTCTGTCTTCTCCATCATCACCATCGCATCCTCCTTCGTTCCATCGTATTGACACCCCCCAGCCAACAGAAATAAAAGAATAAACTTAAAAAAGTGGCAAACCACATTTCCTCTCTCTTCTCTCCCTTGGAGAACGCATGCTACTGTGCAAGTCTCTTTTCAAGCGCCGCCTTCTCGGCATGCAGCATTCGGATGGCCTTTTCCGCCTTGAATTGGTAAACTATACGCTCCACTCGCTCCTTATTCAGCTCTCGGATGCGTGTGTAGGCCTTATCCAGCTGCTCCTGCAAGTATGCATCGCCCTGTCCCGCGGAGACGTTCATGGAATCCGTGGGAGAGGCCTGACCCACCGTCCCACACAGCGAGCTGCATTCGTTCATGCCACCCGTGACACTGATGTAGTCCGTGCCTTTCAGCCGCGCCAGCTCAACGTCAAGCTCCTCCTGCCGCTGCGTCCACTGTCTCGAGTCCATTTGGTAGCGTATCAAAGTCGCACGCAGTTTCTCCGCCAGCCGGAAGGCCGTGCGTTTTTCTTCCGCGAGAAGAATGGCGAGCTTAAACCTCTCATCCGTGATGGTTTTGATCTCCGCATCACGCTCGCACAGTTTATCCCGCATCTGCTTACTTACAGTCTGCCATCCAGCCGCAGCACAGCTAGTGGAAGACACCTCACCGCCCCCGCTCTGCAGCGCCGCAATCTCCTGCCGCAGAAGATCGTTCTCAGTGCTAAGAAGCTTGACACGATCCTCCAGAGCATTGACGCGGTCCTCGTACACTCTCCGCTCCTCCCCCAGGGCATCCTCCAGTGTTCCATCGTTCTTGGAGTCGAGCTCAGCCATAAGCTGCAGATAAAGTGCTTTGTAGTCGAGCACCTCGTGACGCTTGGCCTCCTGCTTGATTTGAAGTGCCCGCTGGCCAAACAAAATGGCACTCAACGTCTCCTCGGAGGAATCGTCTGCGGGGGTGCAGTTAACCACGATGGAGGTGTTGCCGTTACCCAGCAACGAGTACTGCAGGATGCGAGTCAGCTTGGACTCACGGAACGGCACGTGCTGGGAGCTCTTCTCCGTCAATGCTGCGACCACCTTCCCGAGAACAAGCAGACTTCCATTGATGTGGGTTGCCTCGCCCAGTGATTTTCCCTCAGCATGCGTCTTGCTAATCCGTTCACTGCCGGCCAGGTCGCAAATAACAAGACGCCCCTCCAACGCCGTCGCCGGCGTATCCCCCAACTCCCCTGTTTTTACCTCCACCACCTTCACCTTCTTGGAGCGGGTGATGTTAAAGTTGAAGATGGTGTGGGAGCGGGAACTGCTTTCATTCATTGCCGTGCATGTCATCTCCTTACGACTCATGCCAATAGAAAACAACTCCATGGTCTCCTCGTAGTTACGTACATTTTTCTCAATGGGCAATCCAGACGACTCCGCGACAAGCACAACGTCGCCACACCCTTCCGAGCCAAGCTGAATGCGTACCCGCCCCTTCTGCGCGTCCAGCAGGTCGGTCAGAATTTCATTGTATAACTGCACGTAGCTCACACTGCAGTTGTATTCATACTCCATGTCATTGTTAATGCGATTCCAGACATCGTGTAGGCCTTGCTGCAGCATACCAGGGTTCTTGGGGTCGTTATTACTAATGGTGTACGTCTTACCAGAGCCTGTTTGCCCGTACACAAACAGCACGCCATGTTGACCGTCAAAGGCGGCGTCAACGGCACCACGCGCAAACTCATTGTACACTTCTGTCTGCCCCGTCGAGGGGGCAAAGACCTTGTTAAATGTATACACCTTTGAAATATCCCTTGACCCGCTCTTTCGCGTCACAGTAACGGTCCGCGGGTCACTGGGGTCAAAGGTCAAGTTGTTACATGAAGCCTTCGACTCACGGGCGATGGTGGGGCGCACACGAAGATACACAGAGATGTTCTTCGGTGCCGTCTTTGCACCCGACTGGCTCTTCATCGCACACTGCTTCTGTTGCCGGTGTTAACGTTGGCACCCTCCCTCACCCACAACCTTTCGCTGTGTGTCCCTCCGTATTGTATTTTACTTTTCCCTTAGTCCCTCCCCTCCGCTGTTACGTTAGTTCCCGTTCTTGTTACTTCTGCTGATCCCCTCTCCTCTGCGTGGATCAGTCCCGAAGCGCAATTTCACACACCACAAAAACAAGACAAGATGCTTATATTTTTTTCCTTATTCCTCCCACACTGGCGGCCTCCGCTACTTGCGCTCCGGCTCCTCGTTGCTCGCTCTCGTACCCTGAACCGCAGTGTGTGTGTATGTGTTTCCCCTGTCGCCACCTTATCCCACCCACACCTGCCTTGTTGGAGGCGTGCTGTGGGAGCCCACGCACGCCCACAGAGAAACAGAGGGGAAAAAAGAGGGCGAAATGTTGTGGGAAGAAGTTGCAGTGGCACACAGGCAGATACCCGATCCCCACACCGCACACAGGAAAGACGTGAGGGTTGACGTCCGCCCGGCAGACACGGGAAGGGAAGGCAGAAACAGAAGATACACAACTATATGTATATATGTTCCATTTCCGTCTCTTTGTTTGCCTTTGTTTGTCTCTGTTGTTTTTTTGTTTTTTCCCCCCTCTCTTTGTTACTTGTCCTTTCTTTTCTCTCAAGTTTCTCCCTCACTACGTGTCGTTCTCTTGCCGGCACACTTTATTTCTCTGAGCTCTTTGCAGGAAGAAGACAGTCACAATGAGGCGCCAAAAATGGAGCCACCGCTGCATAGTGTTGCAGGCCAAAAGTACGGCGAGACCTTCCTGAGCACCTGCAGTCCATGTCAGTGGTGGCGGCTGTCACTCATCGACAACTGCTGGAGATGAGACCTAAACAAAGTAATACTCACACACTTCGTTCACCTCTCATCCCGCACAAACCCCACCCATTTCATTGCAGCTCCCCCACCCCCCTCCCGTTGCTGTTGACAGGGAAGAAACTATGTAAGTATGTACACGCCCCACCTCACCGGTGAGGTGGGGCGGCAGGATCCCTGCCCAAAAAAACAAAAAACAAAAAACAAAAAACGCGCAGGCAGGCAAGCGGAGAGAATAAGTGACTGGCAGATAGAACGAAATGGAAACACAACCCGGAGTCCGCTCCGAGGTGTCAGAGTTACGCCTCAGCGATGAGCAACCGTTAAATTCTCTACGAACCCGCATGCAAGTCCGGCGTCCACACCGCCTCCTCAAAAACCTGCTTTTCCATTTGTTTGCCTCTTTTTTTTTTGTTCTTGTTGTGTGGGTGAGTGTTTTTGTTTTGTTTTTTCCCCTTCTCCGCTCTCTCACTTGTTCCTTCTCTCTCCATTATTTCATTCCTTCAAGCAATGGACGTCGCGTGCTTCCCCTGTTTGCCTGTCGCTCAGTTGTCACTCGCGTCCCCTCCTCCGCTCCTCACTAGTCCACTTTGATGTTACTGTAGATGATTCGCACAAATAAAAAGGAGGCCAGGAAGCCCACAGCGCCGCTCAGCAGGCAGAGCGTGTACGCCGCCATCCCCATGTAGCCAAAAAAGAGCACGGCACTCAAGAACCCTTTCAGTGTGGAGTTGTAGAAGTAGTAGTAGATGCTGTAGAGGAGTATCCAGACGCCGTACGACGCGGAGGTCAAAAACGAGCGCCACCACCAGTGGTAGTTCAGTCGATTCAGTTGAATGTAGGTCGAGAACACGGCCGTTTGTGCGGCGATGACCATAGATAGCACGTACACCGCCAGGAGAAAGCCAAACATGTAGTAGACTGTCCCGTGCCAGACGCTTCCAAAGATGTACGTGATCTCCACATGCGCCGCGGCAAATGGCACGAGCCCGGGGAGAAGTATTGTGAGCGCAGAGTCAAAGTACCACGGCGCCGGCGGAATGGTGCGAGGAATGCTGTTCACCTTCACGGGAGTTGTAAGGCTCATGCTAAACCCCACCGCTGCGCCAACCAGCAACAGCGGCGTAGAGACGCCCTGCCAGAGGAGCAAAAGAGTGATGAGCGAATACAGAGAGGCGGAGCTGGCGGCGTGGCTGCCAATATGAATAAAATTGAGTACAAAGTAGCCCAAAAACATCTGTGCCGGGTAGAAGACGCTGGCGACGAAGATCAACTTCCATGATCGCATCCGCAGGTACTTAATAAGCATTGCTGTGACCATCCCATTGAAAAAGCTGAAGAGCACAAAGAGGAAGAGCAGGGTGCTCACCAGCGTCCCACGGCTCTGCGGTGAAATAAAGCCCATGCACGCCACGCAGAGTGTGGAGCCCAACATCATGGCCAGCTGCGTCCCGGTACCAACGCAGATGGAGAGGAGACCAACACCGCGCGGTCGGCGAAAGACGTCGCCGTGAACAAGCTTCCACCCAGTCTCATCGGTCTCCTCGGCTTCAGCCTCCTTGTAGTACAAGAAGTCGCGGCGCAGCGCACGGATCAGCACGTACCACAACACCACAGTCTGCAACAGAGTGATGATGAAAAAGTTCATGATGCTGAACCAGTGAATCTTAGACTCCCGCGTTGTCAGCTTCATAAACACGTCCCAGCGCGTTGACCATGTCAGGGGCGATTCCACCCACTGCACGCTGTACGAGTACGATATTTCGCCGTCCATCAGACGCTGGGGCCTGCCTGCCACCAGGTCGGCGCGATCGCAGATTGCATTTTTGTAGTGGACGCTGGTGGCTGCGATTTGAAACTGCACAATTCTGTACGATCTGTTCTCCAAATTAAACGGGGAGTCCACGGTGTGGTAGGAGATGGTAAAGATGAGGTGGTTGTTCACCGTCATGCCCCCATCGGTAAACGGGGTGCTTCTAGCGCCCAAGTAGTACCCCGTATTCACACGACGCCGTCCCTTTGAGATACTAACGTCCTCTACGCCCGGAAGGTCGTCAACATACATGTTGGCGCGGTAGCGGCCACTAATAAGCTTAGCCATGTAGAGTTTTTCCCTCAAAGTCAGTTTCACTGTACAAAGCGGCACACACGTTTCATTCGCCAACACCGTCACGTCGTACGCGGACTCCTCCAGCTGGTCGCCAAAGAGCAACTGGCCAATATTGCGCCGACGCCGCTGCTGCTTCTCCCTCCTTGGGCACTGCGCCAACGACTTCCACTGCATCGGCATAACGCGTAGCTTTGACGTCAGCGGGCTCACCATGACCGGAATGATATCCCCCGGATGGTAGGAGGCGGCGATGGTCTTGACGACAGAAAATGGCGAGGCCTCCGCAGCGCATGCTAAAAAAAGCGCAAGTGCGGCAACTACCAGTAAAAGCCCTCGCGGGGTGCCATCGCGTTTCCCGGTGCGAGGCCGCATTTTCTCTTTTTCTTTTCCCAGCGGCAGCCGTTCGTTTACAAACTCGCTCCACACACACACCTCCATCCTTCTATTTTTATCTTCGTTTCTCTTCTTTGTTTTTTGTGCCCGACAATCTCGCCCGCCAGCCGGAGACAACTCAACAACCACGGAGAATAAAAAGCGGTCAAAGCAATCCAAAAATAATAATTAAAAAAAAAATGAAGATGAAAAGCCTCGCTGCAATGCCGTCGCCCACGGCAACACAGGAACCGACGCAAGAGCAACACTCCGTCTTGGGTGCGGCGCATAGGAACAGACAGAAGACAAACAACAAAGCTACAAGGAAGACACACACACACACACGCACACACAAAAAAAAGGGAAACAGGCAAACAAAAAGAAAAAGGACTTTGCCCCCGAATCCAATACGGTTTTCTCCCCGTGTGCGTGTGTGTGCGCGGTCCGACGGGTGCCTCACTCAACAACGCCGCCCTTCTTGAAGGGGTCAGTGGCGGCGGAGCGGGCCCGTGAACGGTGGGGAGGCCGGCGCTGCCATCGTTGCCTTTCCACAGACGCCCTCCACCTCCCCCGCTATCGGCGTCATCACCTTTGCAGTCGGTGAAGTGAGAGTCAAGCGCGGACACACGCACACAAACAAACAAACAAAAGCAAAAATGCTATGCAGTCACAGGCCTCGCAGGGGTCCGCCCCCTCATCCATTGTGCGGTGCGCCCTTGCATGTCTGCCCCCGTCACTGCGATACATGCGAGACTCTCAGCAGGCAGGCCGCCAAGCATGTGAGGAGACTTACGACACTGCCGAAATATGATTTCATGTGTATGTCTCACTTCGCCGCTGAGGCAGTGTCATGGAAGAAGACGCCCTACACAACAGGAATAAAGGCCAAAAATAAAACAACAAAGAGAGTAAAACGGCAAAGACGACCCCTCCCGTGTGACATAGGTAACAAGGAATTAAAAAAGTCAAAAACGGAAAGACTAGAATTTGCAAGACAGGATGTAAACAGACATGTCGTGCATATATACCTATATATGTATCTATACAGCTATACACTAGCACATGCCAGCCATGTAAGGAAAAACAAGGTATATATAAAGGTGGTTGAAAAAGTCGGCGTTCAACGAACCCCTCATTCATACCACCTCTTCCAAGCCAGTCCTGCGTACTACATACTCCAAGGTGCACCCATCAAGCCGCGGTGAGAGTATATCTACATACCTACTCCCAAAGCATATGTATAATGCTGCGTCGTGCACTGTGGTTCGTTTGTATATTCATTTAAGTCCACTGGTGTGTTTCTGTCTCTGTGTATCACGGGCCTCGTTAACTACATTTTTGGTAACTGTGGTGTGTGTCTCATGGCCCCGTTAACCATTAATCCTTGTACTTTGCAATCTCATCCATCAGCAGCTGCCGTAGCTGGGCGGCGGCCACTTCGACACTGTCGAGGTCCCAAACAAACTGCATCCCCGCCTCCGTCTCAAACTCCTCTCCACCACAGTTATCCCGAACCTCCCGCAGCCACGGATGCCTCAACGCCTCCTTTGCCGTCATGCGCTCTTTCGGGTTATACGTGAGCAACTTGAAGAGGAAGTCCTTGAACAACGCGTACCGCTCCTCCCCACTACTAGCCGGATTTGGTGACGTTATCCTTGTGTTCGCATTAACAGAACCCATTTCTTCCTTTCTGACAGTTTCCTCTACCCCCTCTTTCTCCACCTCTCGCGCTGCGCTATCCCCGCCGTCACCCTCCTCCACGTTATAGCTGATGGAGGCCATGTAGCTATCCTTCAGCTGAGGGCACACGGACTCCAGAGGCTGCCTCGACCTGGGAGGAAGCGAACGCAAGTAGTTGAGCGCCTCCTCCGAGCGTACGTATGTCATGTCCCGCGCGATGTCCGGGAGGCCTAACAAGTCCGTAATGAGGTTTAGCTGGTGGATGTAGTCGCGGCCAGGGAACAGCGGATGCCGCGTGAACATCTCCACCGCGAGGCATGCCACCCCCCACAAGTCAATGGCTCCATCGTAATCATCACTCATAAGCATCAGTTCGGGTGGTCTGTACCAACGTGTCACGACGTAGTGCGTCATCCTGAGACCCCTTCCCCGTGCAAGGCCAAAGTCGCATAGTTTCACATCGCACTCGCAGTTGGTCAGTATGTTGGCGGGCTTCAGGTCTCGATGGATAACGTTGGCGCTGTGAATGTAGTGCAGCGCACACAGAACCTGGTATGTAAAATACTGGCAGTGCACCTCCGCAAGCCTCACTGAGTTCGATCTGAGAATGGTATGCAAATCCGAGGACATGAGCTCAGACACCATGTACAGGTCTGAGAAGTCCGGACCGGAGGGGCGGTAGAGATTCTTGAGGGACAGCACGTTGGGATGCCTCAAAAAACCCAACAGTTTCACCTCACGCAAGATACGTTTACCGTCAACAACATCTCCAAAGATGTTACTCATCTTTTTAATGGCGACGGCGTCCCCAGTTCTACGATCTACCGCACTACAAACAATACCGTACGCCCCGCGCCCCACTATGCCCTTGACCTCGTACCGTTGAGGAACCTCCACCTTTGACTGGCTGTTGAAGGTGTACGTCACCCGACCCTCCGCGTCCGGCGCGGAGACGTGCGTCAGCATCTCCCGCCACGGCCGTCCCACACGTTTTGGGTCGTGCCCCCTCCCTGTTTCCTGCGCCCTGTGCGATCAGTGCCTGTCCGAACGCAAGATGAGTCGTGTTCTTTTCTCTATTTTCTTCTTTCTTTCTGCAAGTGGAGGTGAACAAAAGCCTATCAAAGCGTTAAAAACACAAAAACAAAAAAAAAGGATGAAAACAGGCAGAAATGCCCATGTTTTTTTTTCTCGTTTTTCCTCCGCAAGAAGATTTTGAGTGTCTGTGGGCATGCTTCCAAGCCGTCCCTCCTTTCACTTCACCCTCACTAGCCCACTCTTCCCACACACAAACGCACACACCCCTGCCTCCCCCTCCACACTATAAACACAAAAACACAGGGTCGCAGTACCCGTGTTCTCGTCGCTGTTTTGAAGCACATGACGAAATTACTAAGGATGATCGCCATGCAGTGAATGCCGTTAGACTACTGTGGGTGAGACCCCATGGCAAGCTTGAGCCGCTGCTCCAACGTATGCACCTTCGCCTGAGAGACTCCAAACTCCCGCACCAACTCGCGCAGCTCCCCAAGCTGCTGCTGAAGAAGCCCGACATCGGTGTCCCTCAGTGACAGCTGGTGCTGCAGTTCCTTTACCTGCCTCCTCAACAACACGACAGACGCCCTGTCTTCACCCACGTCCGCCAATCCACGCTCCTCCGCTTCCTCCCCTGTGGTTGGCGGCGTGTGCCCATGGGCATCCACCAGGTCACGATACTGGGCCTTCAGTTTTTCAAACTCTTCCGTCAATGCATGCAACGGCGCCTTGGAGGCAGCCTCCGCCTCCCGCAGCTTCCTCCCAAGAGCCGCGATGACCTGCCGCGACTCACAGAGTTCCTCCTGACAAACCTCCAGCGTGCGGCGTACCTCTTCGTTGTCTCGTCGCATGTCGTCCTCCTCCAGCTGCCGCATCCGAAGCGACTGCCCGTGACGATCCTCCAGCATTCCGTTATACTTCCAAAGCTCCTCGGTATTTCGCTCTAACTCATTTACCCTCTTCTCCGCCACTGTCGCACGCTGCGTCTGCTCCCCAAGTTGCCTGAACACACCATCAAATAGCAACAGTGAAAAGGCCTCAAAAAACCACCCTGCCATCGTTTCTATCAAGCATCGGTGCATCGATTCAAACTCGGCAAACGTGCGCCACGTGTCTCGCCAACGATCCCCAAACGCCGCCTCAATACGGCCGTGAGTTGCGCGCATTTCAAGCAGCTGGTCAAAGATCGGCCCCCCAAGCTCAATCTCGCGCAGCGTCTTCACTTTTGCGTCATCACTCCAATGGTCGTTGCCTAAACACAAGGACGACAGCGCCGACGCCGTTGAAGACTTCGCAGGGCCGGTGCTAGAGCACCGGCGAGTGCTTTCGCGTCGCGTCGACCGTGCTGGCGCACGGCGGCGCACCGCTGGGTCCATCACACTCACCGCCTGATGGCATTTCGCCGAGGGGCCTGGAAGCAACTTCCGCAGAATGCGGTACTGCACAGCGATGCTTGGAGGCAAATCATCCGCCAAGGTGTCCTCCTCCGACATGGGCCGCTGCATGCGTGTGCTCCTGCCCCACCCCCTCCCCCTAAAAGAGAAAGACTTGGAAGTCAAAAAAGCAAAAAAAAAAACAACATCTTTTAAGGAGAAGCGGGAAGGCAAGCGCCGTGGGGAGAACAAACAAAAAAAAAACCAAAAAAAAAAGTAACAAACGAAGATAAAGTGGATGCGGAGACCAAAGAATCGTCGTAAGCAGTTGTGCGTGTGCTCCATCAAATAACAGGAAGCGGTAAGACGAAAAATCCCTTCAAGGAAGGAAGAAAACAGAAACAGACAGGAATAATCACAATGATAATAACGCTTCTCCATCTGGATGTTCCCACTGCACCTCACCAACAACGATTTTACTGCTCTTACGTTTTTGATGGTTGTGTGATTATTTTTTTTTTATATAAATAAATATATATTTATTTATATATATATAGTGGCTTCTTATGCCTTTGCTTTCCCTCGCTCCCCCACAGAGATCCGCCCATTTGGTGTTCGCTCCTGCCGCCTATGTCGCTGGGAAACGGGAAGCCGGCTCCACCCATCCCTGGAGAGACCAAGGGGGTGCCGCTAAACTCAAACGGCGCGCCTGCACCTACACGGCCCATCCGTGTAACAAGGGCCAGAAAAGCGCAAGACCAAAAAACAAAAACAAAAAATGCGGCGCAATCCGTCGATTATGGGAAAGTAACAGAAAAGGACGGAAACGAGGGGAAGCCTAGCGTGAAGAAAAGGTGGTGGCGGCAGGGATCAGGAGAAAAAATCTGCAAGTTGGAGAGCCGAAACGAAACGCAGCACGCCACACAAGCGCCCCAAGGCTGAGAGTGTGTAAAAGATGACAGATAAGTCATAAAGTGTTTTTTGTTTTTGTTGTTGTTGTTATTTTTGTTTTCCATTTTCCGTTTGGGAGGAAGCGGAAAGAAAAAAAAAAGATGAAGACAAAAAATGGCCATTAAACACAATGCTGAGGCGATGGTCACGCCAAATGAACATGGTGGAAGATTTAGTGTTGCAGCTGCCTTCGAAGCAGCTGCAGCCGCAGCCTCAGTGGTGGCTGTCGGGCAATGCCTGCGCCCCAGCTCCTTCAGAGATGAGATAAAGACGAATAAACATTACATGCAGTCCCCGCCCCAATGATGCCTCTCAACGTCGCCACTCTTCCGCTGCATCGTTCTATGCGTTTCTTCCTCTAGTTTTTTTTTTTTTTTTTTTTTTTTAGTAGGGG